CTTTTCAAAACAGCCTAAATAACTTAGGAATGTGAGCTATGTTTCCAAATCGACTTACTTCAGAGACTAAGTCCCCATTGGAAGTAAAGCCTTTTAATTGCCTAAATTACTTTTGAGACTGGTACTTAGGTAGTTTGAAAAGTTTCATATCCCCTCTCCAGAAAAACCTCTCCCCTCTGTGAAATTACAAAATTATCCATTTCCTCTAAGGTCTTAGATGGAGAATTTTACAGAAAAAAGAGATTTCATCCCTGAGAAGGAAGGAAGGAAGGAAGGTTACAGAATGATGACATTTCAAATACAATGGCTTCTGCATGAACAGGTATTGAAAGAAGTGTTTTGTTTTGCGCCAAAAATAACAGCTGTATTCTTGAAAATACCATTAGGGCCATACTAAAATCCAGGCAGATTACTATTGTGAAAAAATACCTCATCTGCTTCTTTTTAATACAGTAGCAAATATACTGCCTGGTTTGGCTTAATGCCAGAATTAATTTTAAATTGGACCTCATAAATATTTCATGAGGTCCAATTTAATGGGATTGCTTTTCCTGGCATTAAGCCTGTGTGGATAGCATTTTAAACAGTTATGGGTGTTTTTTGTTTTTTTTACCGAACTCCAAGAAAAAAAATCTTCTGGTATCAATAGGCTTATTAATAAATTGCTTAAAACAATGACCGTATATTTTAAGAGTATTTTGACACAATTCTTATAAAGAACTGTTGATATCTCTTTAGGTATTTTCTTTCAGTCTGGTGCTTTGTACGGTCATAAAAACTATTAACATGAAAAATGCTAATCTTTATCAACCCAATAGCAAAAAACAGCACAAGGAGAAATATATGACAGATGTAGGTCAGTTTTGACCACCAAGGTTAGCTTTAGGAGTGAGCAACCAAAGAACTTGCCCAGGGTCTAGGCCAAGGGTGTTTTCGCTATGTTAACTTAATGCAACCATCTAATGTGTGGATGGGAAGAACCCAAGGCTTGGCCCCTGCCTAGAGCCAAATGAGTATAGCACTGACTCTGTTGATCACTGTACATGGCCAGGTTCTCAGCTGAGTGTTGCCACATTGGCTTCAATGTTAGCATTTCAATTTATAGCGGGAGAGGATCTGGGCCATTTTTTTACTGAAGCAAATTAATTCAGAAGCAAACATTATGACATTTCAACACAGAGTGATGGTCATGAACTGAGTGTGAACATATAATTAACATAAATAAAAAAGCTGAGCATTTAAAACCTTAGATTTTTTTATCTGCACAGGCTGACACAGAATACTTTTGGGCACCATTCCCCCTGTCAGCTCTCACTGCAGGTACACATATCAGCTGACCAGAGGACTAATGATGTTTTGAAACAAGAAAGGCTGCAGGTGTGTAAGAGATATAAAAAGAAGGACAACTAACAGGACTCCTTGCTCATCAGGTGTCATGTTGATGTGTGACCCCTACTACAAGTGATATTAATGGTACAAAGTTTTAACACTGTACATGTGGATTTGATCCGGTCAGGTCTGGTTGCTTCAACATGCGTGGGTGCACAGTGTAGTAAGGGCACATTACAGAATGGCCACTCCCCAGAGAGTTTGTAGCAGCAACGGCACCAACTGGGATGGGACAGACCACTCTACACCAGTAGCAGTTGGGGACTTTGAGTCCCCAGGGCAGGTAAAACTGACCTCCCCACCCTCTACTCTCTGGCACTTGTGTCTTTACACATGCTCCAGAGCAAGGGAGGGGCACTTTAAATAGAGCAGCTCTTGGGAGCCGATCTAATTAAAATGCACACAGAGTCGAATGTATTCAACATCCTGCACTTCAAAATGGTGGCAGAGGGGCTTCAACTAAAGCTCACCAACGAGTTTTAGTTAAAGTGCTCCTGCCACCATCTTGAAGTGCAGGACACTGAACATACGTGATGCAGAGGCTGCTGGCACGTGCTAATTAGCATGCTCCAACAGACTCAATTAATCAAGTCTGCTCAAATGTGTGCTAATTAGCACGCACTGGAGCAGGCATCCAGCACATGTATAAAGTGCCAATGTCTCCCCCTGCCCCACCCTCAACCCAGCAGGGTTTTGCCCAGGGCACAAAACTTGGCAGTTATATCTCTGCTCCTTGCACAGAGGCCATCAATACTTACACAAAGGAACTGCGAAGTAAAATAGCCTTTCATGACTCAAAGGGTACGTTGCTAGGCAGGGGGGTTCTGCACCTCTAAATACGAGGTGTACCCGTACGTGCCATTCCTTACACAATCCCATCAAAAGGCCCACAGGCAGGCCGTGTAGCTCACCACGCTGTAAGTGCTGTGACTCAGGCCACTGGAGTAGCTCCAAATGTCCCTTTCTTGACTGTAGCTGGAAGCCACAAGACTTCATTCATTTAAGAAAAACTAAATAGTATTACAGCAAGGAGCAGCTGCACATCTGACCTTCTCAACTGAGGTGCCCTTTTGACAGGTGTATGACGCACAGCAGGATAGTGGGAAACAAGCAAACAGAAATACAGATCCCAAATACAGAAAGGATACAGAAAAATACAACTCAAAGGTCAAATGAAGAAAAAAACATCCCATGTTGACGTGTTTAGGAAGACCCATCAACATAATACATTTCCCTCCCATAATATATTTCCCTCCCACTGATGGTGGAAAATGTCGTGTGCTCTGTTTGAATATGTTATGTTGGGATATCGTGCTATCACATCACAATGCAGAGTACATGTCTTTCCCTTTAACCACAGGAAGATGCGTTTCCAGCTAATTTCCCATATCTATAATTTTAAGTATGAGTTTCTAAGGAACAGAAATTTGGCTTCAGTATTCACTTTTAAATGAACAAATTTGTGTAATTATAAAAGCCTTTAAACAGAAACAATATGCAACAGCTCAGGACAAAACACGAAGAATAGTTCATCTAAATAATGAAACTATAAGCGAATTTTAGATAGGCAGCATGTAATTAGCCAACTGGAATTTAGCCAGGACACCACAGCTAACACCTCTGTTATCTTCAATCAACATCCATTTAATATTATAAAGTTTTTTTTTATTAGAGTGAGTGAAAAGATAATTGAAGAAAATATATTCCTACTTTACTGCTCTGATTTTTCATCATTCAAGAGCTACAGTAATACTGGATTTCTGAAAAAAAAGAAGTGGTGACTGCTAAATGTTAAATGATACGCTGAATAGCAATCTGTGTACCTTCTAATAGCTCTGTTGCTTTCAGCTTTTGGCTGGCTAATAGTAAATCGCTTCATGCCCATAACTGATATGTGAAAGCAGCTGCACTATGTATTCACCCCAGATTATGTCCTTGTGGGATGTTGAGTACCTTCAACTCCCCCTGGAGTCAGTGGGATGCGAGGAGACCCATAGGATGAGGCCCTGCGAGAGCTCATGCATGCGCTGGTACTCGTCCATCTTACTTATCCATGCCCATGTTACTTCTGAATTGGGTGAAACAAACCAACCCCTCAGGCATAAAAGATCCACATCAAGACCGCACAAAGCCTATGTACTTTTCCCCCCACAATTCAAAAAGCCAAGTGATTAAAAAAAACCAACCCAATCACAGGAAGTTCATGACTCTCAGACAACCATTTCAAATGGAGGCATCCCACCTTACACAAAGCAGCACTATGGTATAAAACTTTGAGTGAGCCTCCCCTGTTTAGCAGTGTTGATAGCAAGATTAATTATCCTTCTGTTGAGATGCAGAAGCTGCCACAATGATGTGTCACCACCACTTACCAAGCAAGGTCTTATTCATCACAAGTGACAAGACTGCAGAGAAGTGAAATTCTTGTTTAATATTTGTCTCTATGCTAATGTGGTTTGAAAACAAAGTTCCCTAAAGCCGGATGAGAAGAGAGGAAAGAAAAAAAATGCTTTAGCCAAAGTAAATGAGAGAAAGAATTTAAGCAATTTAATTTTTACTCATTTTACAGACCTTTTCAGATTTAAGCTGCACAGCCATTAGGGATTTAAAGAGGATCCGATGTTTAACTTGTTTGCCCATTTGACTTAAGACAAATCCAGCTGACAACAACAAAGCACTTTCTTTGTCCTAACCAGCACTTAATTTAAAGGGGACATGTTTACAAACAGCTTAATCTGTTTAGTATAAACACTCTTCTACATTCTTTTACCCTGTCAAAAAACTTGCAGAAATCACATGGTCCCTTCCAAAGCCCAAAGCCAGACTTTTGGGCAACTTGATATGAACAATATTCCCTGGTGATACAAATATACACTCAGCCACCAATGTTTCTGGTCTTTAAATATGCTTTTAAAAATTAGCAATAGAGAAGAACCCGTTCTTGTAGTGCTTTTATTACATATATCAATTTCCAAAAAATAGGAAACATTTAAAATAATGACATTTGATGAACTTAAGTTACCAGTAACATCCTACATTAACAATGTATCACCATTCCCAGGAAAGTTCTTGAGGGAATAGCCTTATCTCTGTAGCAGTCTAGTCACTTTGTACATCATGTTCGTGCTCTTTTCAATCTGGGGTTTTCTCTGACCACAACGAACAGGCTATTCTCTTCCAGGCAATGACCACCAGACATTCACCATTCCAGGAAATGTGATACAAGTGCTATGGGGAATGGGGAATTTGTATCCATTACAATGGATACAAATCCATTTAATTGGATTTTATATTTTCTTCACCTTTTATCTCCTCCTGTAAGTTATCAGTTTATTATTATAATGTACTGTGTTCTAGAAAGATGGCATAGAACTGACACACAGAAGATCCAGGTACTAGCATTAATTCTGCATGGTGACATTGAGAAAGTCATTCAAGACCCAGTCCAGCAAGATATTTAACCATGTGGCTCACTTCAACCATATGAGCCATCATTACTCATGTACTGAAAGCTAGGCAGGTGTTTCAGTATTTTATTGGATAACAGTCATAACTTCTCTCTGCATTGTAGTTTCACAGCATGTAAAATGAGGGCAGTAATATTTACTCACCAATGTAAAACACATTGAGATATTCAGATGAAAAACACTTAAGTGCAAAGTGTTGTCGCTGTATCCTCCCTAACCTCTGTGCAGCAAGGCCAAAATGTGAGAGTGACAGGGTTTGCTCACTGATGTACAAGCCTTCACGGGCTATGCAGAAAATGCTGCCGCTAGTTCATAATCCTCCTTCCCATCAGCTTCCATATTTTAGTTCAGAACATCTATCTGCACCATCTTCAAAAGTAAACAGAAGGAAAGAAATTATTTAAACTTTGCAAAGTATATTTGAGATGGTTTTAATGGATGATTATGTAAGAGATATTATATTTCACTCAACAAGCTGGTTTTCTCTAGTAGTTAGACAGTTCTTAATATAATGCTACAACAATCAACTAATCTAGTGCTTTTCATATGAGGATTTTAAAATGAATGAAACCTTAAATGATTTCAAAGAAATTTTCATACCAAGAAAGTAAGTAAACTTTATTATGGAAATGTTAAAATTATAGTTATTACATGACTTAGTAGAGTTGGTACAGGACCCATCGCATTGTAGCTACATGGGCACATAGGTTCTTGTATACTGATGCAATCTGAGACAGGCAAAGTTAATCATGCAGCCGATTTTAGCCTGGGGTAAAATGTTTAGAAATTTTCTACACAATACCATGGAAAGAAGAGAGAGGACACCCATGCATGGTAGCCAAGTTGAGGCAAAGATTTTAAGGAATTCTTAGTGAATAGCTTTAGCATATAGTATACAATTATGGAGGTGGGGACTATACAAAGGCCTTAGTACTCTTCAAAATTCTGTTATTGGGAGGACGGGAATAGGGCCTAGTCTGATCCGCCAATCTTAGGACCTAGTTGAAATCATGATTTTGCATTTCTCGTGAATGGTGATTTTGATGAAAAATGTGATTTGCCATGAAATGCCTCAGTATGGCTGCTCATTGAGGAGATCCCCAGCAAGTGGCCATATCATGGCATTTTGTTGCAACAAGATGACTGCTGCAGGCAATGCATTTCCCAGTCAGAAACAAAAGCCTAGCAGCCCAGGGGAGGGAAAAAGGGGTCGCAAAAGGGACAGGGAGAAGAGAGAGCTTGGGGCTGGGTAGGGGAGAGGCTGTTTGCTCCTCTAGGTGGGAAAACTAGAGTGCAGAGGGTTGGGGGCGCCTGGTGGCTGCCTTGGCAGATGGCCCTGGTACCTGGTAAGGAAAGCACTGTTTTGCTCCTCCGGGCACGCGAAGGAGCAAACAGCCCCTCCCCTACCCGGTGCTAGGGCCATCTGCCAAAGCAGCCCTCAAGTGCCCCTAACCCTCCCACACCCCAGTTTTCCCACACGGAGGAGCAAACAGCCCCTCCCCTCCCCAGCACCAGGGCTTTCAGCAGGAATGGTGGGATTTTACTACACGGCTTCCATAAAAATCAAATTGCATACAATCCTATAAAATCAAGTCAATCTTTAATTATAATCATAAAAATTATATTACAATAAGTGGTATTTTCAAGTTAATGGAACCATAAAAACTACTAAAAGGCAGCCTTTGTTAGCCTAATAACAGTACTTCACTTGAAAAAAAAACCCAGAAAACCAACAGTCCTTAGCCACAAAAATAGAGGTCCACATTTTTAGTAGTGTGTTAACCTAGATTCTAAATATTCCTTCTAAATAACTGGATTTATATTACAAGATCTCTGGAGCAGGAACCATTTTTTTGTTTTAAATTTGTACATTACCTAGCAGAATGGGTCCTTGGTCCCTGATGAGTGTTCGAAAGAGTGACGATAAGATAAGTAATAAATATTACGATGGTAAAAATTATAATACGACTCGACTACCTATTTTGTTATTTGTCATTCTGTCTACCATTGTGCAAATCTACAGGAATACCTGGCTGTGGGCCCAGAAAGTTTATGTTTAGTCGACCAAAGTGTTCAGACTAAAAATTCAATCCCTTGTTCAATCCCTTTTCTCCTGTGAAAGTGGAAAGGAGAAATGGGATTGAGAAGATGGGGCTTACTTCTATTCCTTGCATTTGCAGAAGGTGGAACCTTGGACCCCAACTGGAAAAAAAAAAATTATTTTTTCACATCCAGCATATTTTATCCCCCCAAAAACAAGCCTCTAGAATTTGGGGGATGCATTATAAATGGAGGAAATATGGTAACAGCAGTTTCTGCCGCTTGAGCTTCTGTTAGGCAAAAACAAAAGTAACTCTGCATGTGAAAAATGAGCAGATTTGGCTCTCTAGCTCTGCCCCTACTCAGTTACTTCCTACAAGGAAAGATCTTTTTTTCTTCATTCTGCCTTTCAAAAACAAGGCACATATCTTATTCTGGGGCATACTGTATGTGAGAAAATATGGTAGTTCCAACACGTAACAACAGCAGGAACATGTATCTCCTCCTTTGAGCTGTCTGATGCCAAATATTTTTTATTTTGAATTTACTAGTGAATCAACCAACTCCAAAAATGTATTGGAATAAGGACAAGTGCAACCAACTTTTAATGAAAGTCCTGGAGATAGAAAATTTACATTTGATTTCATTTAAGGAAATTTTCCATTTTATACTAAATAAATTAATGATGAGTTTTAAGTTTTCTTCCAATTCTCTCCCACCTTTTTACATATGTAAACAGTAAGAAAGGGCTTAGGTATTCTCTGCCCTCAGAGATGGGCAGAAAAAAATGCCTCAGTATCAATCTCAGTACAGAGAAATATAAATAGTGAAATAATAAGATATGACAGACCAAACTTAATGAATTCTACTGTAGGCAATATTTTCAATGGGTGCAGAAATAAATCAAATATTTTCCAAATATGATTTCCCCCTGCTGCTTTAGCGTGTTGAATGTCATGTAAATGAAATGGACAATCCTGAACAAAACCAAGTCCTTTATCAATGACTGAAGATCCCTTCAGTTAAGTAAGGAAAAGATAAGTAGCTCAGCAACAAATTCAGGTGAAAAGAAAATTAAATTCTGTTAAAAGTATACTTAGGGGTTAAATTCACCCCATTTACATGACCAATGCAGAATCTATATGCTGCTTAATTTCCTTCAAACACTTTAATCTGTTTGCTCGCCCCCTACAAAGAGGGGATTTTCCCACTGGAATTATACTCTAGATCAGGGCTCACCAACCTACAGCTCATGGGTCAGAGGCAGGATAGCACATGGTGGATGGGTATTAGGACCCAGTCACAGCTGCAGCTTTTCACAGCATCTGCACTGGGAAGGTGCCCACCATTACTTTTTTTCCCCTGCAGTGGCACAGGGAGTGTCCATAGCCACCACTTTTCTCTGCAGTGGCGGGAAGCTTTGGCAACAGTGTCTTTCTCCTACTGCCATGGGGATGGGCACAGACTGTGGACACTCTCCCCATGCCACAGCGGGGAAAAGTGGTGATGGTAGACACTTTCCTTCTGCAGCCACTGGGAAAGGTGGCAGCTTCAGCTGGGTCCTAGTGTCCACCTCCTGTACACTGGTTTGCTTCTGATCTGAACTGGGGCAGTCCACCCCACAGCCTGAAATGGTTGCTGACCCCTGCTCTAGACTGCACCCTATCCGACTTGTCCTAGTTGTCCTACATTCTTCATTAATATCATATCAAGAAATATATTTAAAAATGACTTGGTTTGTGCTTGAGGATACTTCTCCATAAACATCCAGAAAAACACACCACTGAAAGTTCTATACTGCCCAAAAAATTTCCATCCACCAACAGGTGTTCTGTCAACAGACAAATACAGAGACAAATATCAGTTTGTACAACACAGTATGCACAAATGGGCACACAAAAAAGTTTCTCAGGAACATGCTACACGTCTTTTGGGCTCTACAGGTGCCTATACACATGCTCAGACATGTTCTAATTAGAATGTTTTGGAGCAGAGTCGAATAATTGAGGCTACTGGAGCGTTCCGATTAGAACACTCCAGAATGCTGCAGCATCATGGGTATTCACCATCCCACATTTCAAAATGACAACGGGGTGCTTTAACTAAGACTCATAAAATGAGCTTTATTTTAAAGCAATCTTGCGGCCATTTTGAAATGCTGAATACTGAATGTGTGTGATTCTGTGGCACTTTAATGATAGCAGTTTTCCAGGAGCTGTTCTAACTAAAATGCTCCACCCCCTCCCTCCCCAACCACCCTGGAGCACATGTATAGACACCCAATAATTCTGGCATGCATATAGTGGATAATGTTCATTTTGAGGTTAAAGGAAGCTACGTGTCTGAATGCTGTATCAGTGCCCAAAATAAATAAATAATAAATATCAAAGATCCTAAATCTCATGTAAAAGAGAACTAAACACTTGTTCTGAATGATGAGAATATTTTTTTCCCCGTTACATTCAGGGTTCATCTTCAAAATGAAATGTCACTGATTCTTCAAAATATGGTTACAGAAATGCTTGCTGTTGTCCACATCGTCTTTGTGTCCAATTTATTATTCCAACCAACTATCCACTAAACCAGGAGTGCTCAACCTCCAGCCCACAGGCAAAATCTAGCCTGCAGAGCCATGGCATCCAGCCTGCAGGGATCCCCACAGGTTGGAAAATTTAGCAGCGCACGAGCAATGGAAGCTCTCTGGCCAGATCTAGCTCCACCTGGGACCAATGCCATGCAGTGGAATCAGGGCTGGGCCCGCCTCCTGCAGGTGTAGATTGGGCCAGGCTACTCCCCATGCCCTCTGCCCCACACATCCCAATCAGGCTGCTCTGCCTTGTCCCGCATTCTCATGGGTCCAGAGAGGGGCCAGGCAGCTCCCTGTCCCCTCCACCCACCTTCTGGATCAAAGCCAAGCCACTCCCCACCCCTAGTGGATGGATCAGGGTCAGGCTGTGCCTGCCTCCACAGCTGAAATGAGTCCACCAAGCAGATCTGGCCTGCAGACAGACCTAGCACCACCTATCTGGCCCGCAAGATGAAAAGGTTGGGCATCACCACTCTAAACAGCAGCATAACTAGGGGTGGATGAGGGGAGCATGAGCATTAAGGGTGGGGAGCACTAGAACCGAAGTTAGGGGGCACCAGAATGGACACAACTATGCTGCTAGTTCAGCAGCTGCAGGCTTGGGCTCTGTGAAACAGGGCCAGAAGCAAAGCAGGAAACTCTCTGGTCCTGGCTGCTAAGTGCTTGGGAGGAAGAAGCAGGGGGTGAAGACAGGGGGCTCCCTCCATCCAGCCACTAAATTAGGGATTTTATTTCTTTGCTC